TCACACTCCAATTATACTAGCGCAATTTAAATTTCTAATCTAATTTATGAAATTGTTACACTAGAGAAATTTACCTTGTATTGACTCAAAAAAATAATGATCACAAATTTTTCTGATATTCCCCCCAAAAAATATATATATATATATATGTCCAAAAATTACTAAAGTACAAAATTTGCTATTTGTACAAGTGGCTTCTCATCGTTTCTGATTTGAATGATTCTTTTGGCATATTGGTCATGTAATGAGTATAAAAAATGTACGTGATACGATTGAGCTTTAGTTTGTCATTGTACAGTGTAATCAAAAGCGTACGTAGTAAGTCAATCAAAAGCGTACGTGGGAAGATCAATCATAGTTCATTTAGAATATGCATATACTTATTATAGTGAGTGCTTAATCGTTAAAATAAAATAATCTTTTTATTATATTAGAAACTTTTGAAGTTAAAATTATATTTAGTCATACACTTTTAAATTGACAAAATATAAACTTTATGATAATCTATATGTGATGTCTTTTAATTTTATCTATAAATCAATCAAACAGGAAATAAAGAAAAATCAATTTAGAAAAAATGGGTTGAAATTATAAAATACAATATTCATATTCAGAAAAAGCAATAAACTACACAGTACAGTACACACCAAGGAAAAGTCAAAATCAAAAGTGAAGGCAAATACAAATTAATAATGGAAGAAAAAATCATTTTAATTAATTGCAACTCTCATTTAAAAAACCAGTAAAATTCAAAAAAAAAACAGAAAAAAAGATGACATGAATATTTTAACATTCTACTAATAATGGTTGTTATAGCTATATTGGACTTAGTTAATAAATGGTGAATTATTAACTTATTCAAATGCTATGTAAATTAAAATGCGAGTTATAATCTTATCAAACTCTTCAAAATATATCAAGTTTTAATTATCTTGTTTATTTTTTAAAAATTTTTAATATCTATTAGTAACATAATTTTGTATTATAACTATATATAAAATATTAAATTAAAAAAATACTTCATATTAAAATAGAAATTACACATCCATCTATTTTTTAATGATTTAACCTTGTAAATATGTAATTCTTTTTTGGGTCTTTAACAAACGATTCAAATGTTTTACCGTAGAGCCGACTCGGTGTGATGATCAGTGATTTGTGGCGGTGGTTATACTAAGGTAGCTAATTTCAGTGGTTGATTATTTTTAAAAAATTTAACTAATTTAAATTGTGAAGTAAAGTTATGTATTAAAAAAAGTATAATAGAAAATGGTTCAATCATAATAGATGAAATAATGCATGATACATGATTATAGATATGTATAAATAAATTTGTATAAAATTGAATAAATAGATATATTTATTTTATTCCATATCTTATATAACATTTTTATGTTTTATATGACATTTTAAATATATTATGTCATTTAAAATAAAATGTATATATCTATTTATGCATATTTAAAATTGAAAGGCATAATATCAAAGATAAATGACATAATAATGTATTAAGCCATGAAATAATTTTTTTACTGAAGTGAAACTTAAATAATTTATTATTAGAGTTAGAAATAATGGGAAAAATCAGTGGATTAATGTGTGGCCGTTTCTAATTTTTCTCAACCCCTTTAACGTTATAGGGTAACGCTTCATCATCAGATCCGACTTTGTCGTTTATTTTCTTCTTTTTCTCATCTTTCTTAACAAAGCACTATCCATTTTTCGATTTCACTCATACACAAGCAAATTCTACCTCTAAATTTAAAATTAAAAAAAAAAAGAAAAAAAGAAAAAAAGGTGAGAATATGATCACAATCATATATGTTCTCCAATTACTTAATTTTATTCTTCTTCATTTTATTATTACTATATATATTGTTCTTCTCTAGCTCAAACTCTGCTAGTGCATGTGATCTGTGAAATATTTTTGAATTATTAATTATTGCGATTTGCATCCATTATTACTTTCTTGAACATGTACCTTTATTGTAAGTTTAGATTCGACGTCAATGTATTCGTTTTCCCATTAGGTGACTGTTGCAATATCTTTATTTGTGCATTTCCTTCATTATTTATGTGTGTTTAACTTCTCTTGAATTATAATTGATTGGTTAATGAGATTGATATTTTAGAAATCCTTCTTGTGCAAATTGAATATGTTATGAGAAAATTTTAACTATCGTAAATGTGAAACTACAGTCTAATATTTTGTCAATGTAAATCAACAATATTTGAGTGAGTCATTAGCATTTCTTGGGATGTTAAAGGAAAGCTACAAAGAACTTGGAGATCATGAGGAAACTTTGTAGTGAAATTTATCCAGCCTTTGTAAAATACTACTCCTTTTGTTTCAATTTATGTGACAGTTATTTGACTTGACACAAAGTTTAAAAATAAAAGTTACTTTTGATGTCTAAAATAAGTTATTGATATAGAAACGTGTCTTTGTTTTTTGTAGTGGCTAAAACGTAAATTGTGTCAAATAAATTGAGACAGAAGGAGTATAGGATATATGCAACTAGATTAGAGCTTCATAGTGTTTTTTAGTTGTATGTATGTATCATGGAATGTTATAGGATATTTTTGGTATTATTTGTTGCTAACATATTTGTTGTTCAATATTAGTAAAAAATGGCTGATGTTGATGATATTCAACCTCTTGTTTGTGACAATGGAACCGGCATGGTTAAGGTAATGAATTGAACCATCAATTATTAACATTTTGATTGAAGAAATTCGAAATGTGTTCTCAGCTGTAGTATGTGTATCTTATATAGGCTGGTTTTGCTGGAGATGATGCCCCAAGGGCAGTTTTTCCTAGCATTGTTGGACGTCCTCGACATACTGGAGTGATGGTTGGAATGGGGCAGAAGGATGCCTATGTTGGAGATGAGGCTCAGTCGAAACGTGGTATTCTGACATTGAAGTATCCTATTGAACATGGTATTGTTAATAACTGGGATGACATGGAGAAGATTTGGCATCACACTTTCTACAATGAACTTCGAGTTGCTCCAGAAGAGCATCCAGTTCTTCTCACTGAGGCACCTCTCAATCCAAAGGCTAATCGTGAGAAAATGACTCAAATCATGTTCGAAACATTCAATTGCCCTGCAATGTATGTTGCAATTCAAGCTGTTCTGTCTTTATATGCTAGTGGTCGTACTACTGGTAAGATATTCACATTCTGTACTTCCTTTTTTCTTTTTTTGGATGTTGTTCATGTTCCAATTTTCTATAATTAAGGATCCGTTCTTACTAGGAATCAGTCTCATGGATATTTGTGACACTTTTTTTGATGATTTGTTTCGGAGATGTCATTAGTTATTACTCATGATTGTGAGTATAGATGGAGAAGTGTTAGAAAAGATGAGGAAATTCATGGAATGATTTTACTAACTTGGTAACAAGTGAAGAATTAATCTGTCTAGGTTGTTGAGCGAAAAGCATGATAATACATAAATCAAATCTCAAAAGATAGTTAAAGAAGACGTAACTTGTGGTGGTTTTTGAAATGTTTTGATAGGCTTTTACTTGATCTGAGGGTCTATCGAAAATAGACTCTCTATCTTCCAAGGTATGGTAAGTTCTGCATACACTTCCCACGTCCCATTTGTTGTTGTTGGTTAAGATGAAAAGTATATGATTCTTGTCTGCCTTGTAGGTATTGTTTTGGATTCCGGAGATGGTGTTAGCCACACAGTTCCTATCTACGAAGGTTATGCACTTCCTCACGCTATCCTTCGTCTTGACCTTGCTGGTCGTGACCTCACAGAGCATTTGGCAAAGATCCTCACAGAGCGTGGATACTCATTCACAACCAGTGCTGAGAAGGAAATTGTGAGAGACATGAAGGAGAAGCTGTCATACATTGCTCTAGACTTTGAGCAGGAGTTGGATATGGTTAAGTCAAGCAGCTCTGTTGAGAAAAACTTTGAGCTTCCAGATGGTCAAGTGATTACCATTGGAGCTGAGCGTTTCCGTTGCCCAGAAGTGCTGTTCCAGCCTTCCACAATCGGAATGGAAGCTGCTGGTATCCACGAGACAACATACAACTCCATAATGAAGTGTGATGTTGATATCAGGAAGGATCTGTACGGGAACATTGTACTTAGTGGTGGATCCACTATGTTTCCTGGTATTGCTGACAGAATGAGCAAGGAGATCACCGCGTTAGCTCCTAGCAGCATGAAGATTAAGGTTGTTGCGCCCCCTGAAAGGAAGTACAGTGTGTGGATTGGAGGTTCCATCTTGGCATCCCTCAGTACCTTCCAGCAGGTAATTAAGCATTTAGTTTTTCAATTAGTATACTCGTTAGACGATGAAACGATGCTCAAAATATTTGTCTTCTTTGAAATGTAGATGTGGATTGCGAAGGCAGAGTTTGATGAGTCTGGCCCATCAATTGTGCATAGGAAATGTTTCTAATCGGAGCAAAGATAATCTGTATCTCTCTGATATCGCGCTACGCCTATGTTCTTTTTGTTTTGTTTCTTGATATAGCAGCTTTTGGATAGTTATTATTGCTGTCGAACTAATTTCAGGTCTCTAGTTTTCATTTGATTGTCTGATGATTTTGTCAAATTTCGATATACTCTTTATTTCTTTTATAGTCCAGGAGGACTAATGTAATAAGTTGTTCAACTCACTTGAAGTGTGCTTTTCATTATATGCATTGCTCAAGGAATTTTGTTGTACTTCATGTTTTGCCCAGTAGAGTGAAGCCTTTTTTTAAAAAAAAAAATTGTCAAGCCTATCACATCTTAAATTGCTTTATTACATGTGCCTTTCAAATTCAATTTTTAACATTTGTGATTTATCTTATAATATATATGATATTCGAGCGAGCTCGAGTAGAAGTATATTTTTAGAATATTTTTAATTATCAAGAGCATGCTAATAAATCATTTCATTTACTACTAAATATGTACCATGATTTATCCATTTGAATTATGACCCCAATGCATCAAATAATGAGAAGAGTTCTTTAGCACGAATAAACTCCATTAAGCCGATGGAAGTCTGTCAGTCACATTATAGGAATAGCGGACTAAAGTGTAAAAAAATGAACGTAAGGTGGCAAAACATCCCAAATCTTCAACAAATGCAATTCGAATTGCAAAAATCGAAATTACTGATTTGTGTAATTTGACAAATGGGAATATCTTGCTTGTGTTCAACTCTCTGTAGATTTCCAGTAGATTATCCACAGTGGTTGGTCAGCCAAACCCATGGCTATGGCTGCTTATTCAGTGCTCGCAAACCACTACAAGCAGTTGCCACAAGTACTGTCCTTGTCGATGTTTCTCAGGAAGGACGGAAATACGTTACTGCTACGGAGTTGCGGAAGCCAATAACTGCGGCGATACTGGCGGCAGCTGCAGCATGTGCTGTGATTGTAGCGGTGAATGGGGCGGAGGCGTTGGCGGTGCCGGCGCAGATTGAAACGCAACAGGAGGTACTTGGTGAGACATTTTCGAATGTACCGCAAACGTTATCCGGCGATTGTGTTGATGGTCAGAAGAATTGCAAGAAGGCGAGGATTCAAAGACCTAAGTCAAGGCAAGCAGAGACTTGCACGGTCAAATGTGTCAATACTTGTATTCGTGGTGGCAGTGGATCTCCTGGTGAAGGTCCTCTTAACGTAAGAAGGTATGATTTGTATGTAAATTTGACTACCAAGCCTTTGTTGAAACTGTTCCTTTTGATTGCCTGTGGATTCAAACAAACATATTACTTAAATAGGGAGGGGATTACAAGGTGAGGGATAAAAGTTCACGTAGTCAACCAATCGAGTTACTAAGAACTGTTCTCTGTATATCTGTCTAATTTTCGGAGGAGATAGATTTTGCCTTTTTGTATTTGTTGGAAGATGAACTTAGTTCAGCTGAGAAAGACTAAAGAGGACCAGAGTTCTGTCCAGAAAATTTGGAAATGTGAAAATATCTCCGTTTCAAGTACACTTGAGCAATGCCCCTTATATAAAAAAAGTTAACCACGGATTCAATTAGTTCGAACAACTAATCTATCATCTCACCTAATCTTATATTTACAACTTTAATCGGGAATCTTTTCTCTTCCTTGAATTCTCTAACTTGAAAGAGCTTCATGTCTAAACTCCCCAATCTTAAAGAAGGTAGTCTTATTATCCTAGTGACGCGAATGATGAATCTCTTTTAGGTTAGGAAATCCGAGAACTACAAGTTTCTTTAAGAGGATAAATAGCAATGGTGGATACAGACTACACAAGATTGAAATTCTCTTTGCTGCTAGTATTTTCTTAGTTCCATATTCAAGATAGACCTGTCAATTCTAACATTTTTTATTCCACCAAAGAGTTGTTCCATGATGGTGTAGAAGAGCATGTTAGAGCAAAAATAAAAGTTTGTGAAAGGGCGAAGCCAATGTCACTCGGACCTTGTATATTTATAGGTGCATTATGTAGAGTGCCGACTCATTTAGTACATATCATGCTCCTATTGTTTATGAGATACCATTCCAAAATAAGCTACCAAATTTAGGTTAAACTAATTTGCTAGCTATCTTATGTAACCTGGATATATTTCTCCGATCTGAGTTGGAATATATGGATCATATGTTTCATAATTTGCCAGAAATGCACGTTGGCATCAAATCATAATTCTTTCTTTCGGGCTTGATAGGATGGAAAAAACAAAATCAGAATATTGAAAATCAAATGGACAACCTTCTAATATTTTTTTAATGTGGCATTTTGTAGTTGCAACCTTCTAAATATAGAGTTATAACCTAAATTCTGAACACCTTTTCTTACAAAACCTGTTTGCAAGCATTCGTTGTTTACCGTAGGAAGGATTGTAGCATAAAGCCTGCTCGAACAACTAACAATTAGCTCCGCAGTCGCCAGTCAGGTTGACAGAAACTGAGACATAATGAGGGTAAGGAAGGTAAGAAAGGGAGGGAGAAATCAGTTATACTTCAATCTTAGTGCATGTGGTCTTTAGAGACCATTTATATACTGGTAGATTTGAATGTAGAGAAGTGTCAAGTTAAAAGCTTCAAACAAGCATGAAATTAGCTTGTTAGGTAGAAGAATGTACACAGCCATTTCATTAAAAAAACTTGGGGAGGATAATGTACATTAGATACATTCTAAACTAAGCTGCAGGAAATCCTGAGACTGATATTCTGATAAAACTAGATACAAAGCATGAGCTACTCTTGGTTTGAAAAGGGTAAGGATGTGAAGCTATTTCTAGCATTTGTTTCATGTCTGACATTATTTCGCTTATATACCAATCAACTCTCTTAGTTATACTTATGTCTTTGTTGACTATTGGTGAAGCGTGTCTGCTATAGAAGGATAAAAAGATATCAAGTACTCATATCTGAACAGATATGATGCATCTTTAAAATTGGAACTGAAGTTATATGATAGGGGCAGTTTGACTAATAATATGTCATCTAACTTCTTCTGGTCGATTATTTTAATCTTCTGGAGTTCCTTTTTCTTTTGTCCCTCCTTGATAATGATTGAAAATGCTTGCAGGAAAACATAAGCAGGTAAGTGAAAAGCTAATTAGATGCCTACTTCCATGGTATATAGTATTTCTAGTTTGCTTCCTCCAACCTGTGACCTGCCCCCTATACTATGAAAATTTTAGAACAAAAGAAGAGAAAATGAGAAGCAAATAGGAAAGGGAAAATGAACATGTCATAAGAGATACCTTTCTGTAGAATTAATTGAATGCCGATAGGATGTAAGATATATTGACAAAGAGATATTGTTGAGTAAGTCATTTTAAGAGGTTTGATTTTACTTCTTTTGTCTACAGGCCTTTGGTGGTGTTTAAGCAAGGGTTTCGCAGTCGCCAATACTGGTAATTGCTTTTCCTTCAAACTCATAGTCTTTATATTTCAGTTTCTTAAGCCTCCATAAGTACATAATATTTGTTCTACGCAATTGTGCAACTAATCACTTGCCAAATTCTTGTTAAATATGCAATACTGAACGAGTAACCGTATGTGGCAAGTTTGTAAAGAAGACATCATGTTGTTGTTGTTACGGAAGATGGAAAGTTTTAAAAATAGCTGTGCTCTTCATTAAATGCTGGTCTTAAGTGTTGCTAAACCGTCAATGTTACATAAACACAATTCATACAAGTTTTGCCTGGACTGCTAAAAGCCAGTCCACCTTTATTTATCATATCGTTCTTACCAAAAGGGTAATGAACTTATCTTTCATCTAATTTCCAATACATAGTGAAAATCATATATCTTCTACACCTTTACTACATTGGAAGGTATAATCGGTAAACATGGTAAGTAACTATAGAAGTTGTTCAGTTAGAGATGAATATATAATTGGAGAGAAGAAAAATGAAACCAAGGAGAGAAATGGAGAAAATGGCGTACATCGGTATTCCTTCCTGCCTCTTCAACTTTTAAGACTTAAGTTTACTTCTCTACCTTTTGATCTTGCTAAAGTAAAAGTTTAGGAAGCATTGCATTGTTTGTAAAATAAATGAATTGTAGTTTCATTCTTTCCTTCTTGAGACATAATCCCTATAAGTAATTAAATATGTTTTTCTAACGGCTTAAGTTTTTAGATAAGATGATCACGAACTCTAAAACAATATCTAAGCATGCATGAAGTCCTTGGTCCAAATATGTCGCTCGAAAAAAGGCCCAATTTCATGAGAAGCAATCCCAACAGACCCTGCCTTAACCTGTCTCTCGAACAGTCAGCCCTCACCAGGCTGCTTGCATTGCTAAATGCAGGAGCATATTTCCACGTGTTTGGGCATGAGAACGAATCAAACCCACACGTGAGGAGGTATGATGGGATAGAATATAATTACGTAATTTAAAGTATGTTCTGTATGACAACTTGAATATAACACATTACGAAAGTGAAATGCTTGGTACTTACCATTGCAGCCTAAATTTTTTATAAATGTTGAAATTGAGCTACATTTGGAATCTTTCTATTGTAGGAGCAAACAATGTGATGAAAGCTGCATCAATTACTGCAAACTAGGATATATCATTGTGTAATATCCATCAGAAATAACTTAATGTTTCAGTTTGAAAATTTCACTGCATAGATCTAGTGAGGAACATGATTACCCGCCATATAATGTTTTCTGAATGACTGAAATATTTGTTAATGAAAACTGACTTGTGTTTTTGTTTCTTTTTAATGTTTCTTCTTGCAGTTTGGTGGAATGCTCTGATATATGTAATTTGATGAAAGATGGTGAAGATGGACCGTAGGATGTACATTTACTAATCTTAATTTTAGGTTAAATTCTTTCTCTGAGCCTACAAAATTCCCTGGTGCTCCTTTCGTATAATTAAAGCTTTGATTGGGTTGTATATTATCTATCCAGAAAATTTGACAGGCTTTATGTATGTATATACACCTACTTTTTCTTCCACCTTCCCAATATTATTTAGGATATCTTGTATTCTAAAGTGAGAAATGCGAATTGGAAATTAAAATACCACATCTTATTTCGTGGTAGTGCAGAAAGTTAGGAATGAAAAATGAAGAATTATTTAAATGCAAAGGGGTTTCTTTGTGAAAGTAGTAAGGACGATCAAGGTGTGACCTAGTAGTCAATGAAGTTGAGAATTTTTAAGTCTCAAGTTTAATATTCAGTGGAGACAAAAAAAATACTATGTGATTCTTTTCATATGTACTAGTTGGACAGAGTCATTTGAAAACTATTGTTGGTGGATAGTGGTAGGGTTTGAGGTATTCCATGACATTAATCGTGGTCTACGTAATTCTTTTCATATGTATTAGATATGCAAAAATTGATTCGGACACTATAATCATAAAATGATCCCTTTTTCTGGGGTTAATCTTCCTTGGAGGATATTCTGTTACTTGTATGTTTAATAGGTACTCTGTTTTTACTGAAAAAATAAAACTCATTGATTATTAATTATTTTATTTGTTCATCTAACCGATGTGGATAATTTATAGGGAAATGGTCAAAGATGCCTTAAGCTACGTTAAATAAAAAAAAAAGTTTAGTATTTATGGTTTGGTTCAAAAATATTTTTATTGTTAATATTTTTAATTTAAAAATATCTTTATTATTATTTAATGAAAAAATGTTCATTTTTCAAATAAGTATAGGACTTCTTTGACTTTTAGAAAAAAAATTGTCTGAATTTGTTCATTTGAAATTTGGGTTATTATTTCTATTAATATTTTTTAAAATTAATAAATGTTTATCCTACTTCGATTTTAAAGAAATAAAAATAAAATATTTCTTATTTCATCATAGCTATCTTTTACCGTTTTATAAATAAATGATGGATATACTTGATCTTATATAGTATATGTTTATCCGTCAAAAGCATACATAAAGTCATTCTATTTTAATTGATGAAATGAGATTAAAAAGAAAAAATTATTTCTTACGTTTTTATTTGTTTAAACGATTTTAAAAGAAAGAAAATAAAAATAAGATTCTTTAATAATATTTTAATTAGGAACAAGATGTGCTTAAAAAATTAATATATCTTTTCGGAAAGCGTATTTGTGATAATTAATCGAACCTTAATATAAATATAAATATCAAATAAAAAATTATAACTACTATTCAAATAACCGTTACTTGATATTATCTCAAATTTACAACACATATCTTTTAAAAATTAAATGGATAGTATATGAACTAGATCACTTTAACAATTGTCAAATCGAAATTACAATTTTTAGAAATAATTTTTTTATTCTTTAAAGTTCTTGATATGAGATCAGTCATAATAATGGAATCGGTTGAGTTGATATGCACTAAATTGAATTTAGTTTTATCCAATAAATGGTTCATGGAAATTTCAAGTCAAGAATTTAACTTGGTTAATATTTCGGATGTATTTACGTGACATTACGTACCAAAACTCTTTTAAACCTATTTAAAAATAACAAATAAGATAATCAACATCAAAATATAACTAAAAAATAACTTAATTTTCTTTATAGACTTTTATTTTGGACAATTATGTCTAATAAAAAATTAATTTTTTTTTTTAGATCTGAATTTCATCTGTATCATCTTCATATATGAGGTTCATTATTATATAAATAAGTTACAAATTTTGCTTATATTTATTTTTAACCTTAAATCATATAACTTCACTTTATTGAAGGTCTATATCATTTATGTTTATTTATTTCAATACTAAATTAAATTTGTAATACTGAAAATAGGAATACTATTGTTATTATATATGTTTGTAAGGATTAATTCAAAGTTAATATGATGTAGTCATATAATTGCAATACAATCTATTGGATGTTATTATAAAAAAATTTATTTATTAATATAAAGATTTGTATAGCTAAATATAAATAAAAAAAATTTATGTTTTTATACAAATTTATCTATTTTTACTTTTTATTTTTATTTTATCACAAACTTCAATATTTGTCTAAACAACAAAATAAAATCATAACATGTACTATGATCAAACAAAATTAGGCCTAAGCAAAGACTTTACTATCCTCCTCCTTAAGCCACCCCATTAGAGGTAATGGTGTAACCCCAAGTACAAATGCAAGTATGCAACCATTCCTAACAAAATTTATTAATGCCTTTAATGAAATGAAATACATTCTCTAAGTTTCGAAATTTTTGATTTATATAAATACTTTTCGAAGTCATTGAAAGTAATCATAAAAAAACATTCTCTAGCTAGATATTCATAACAATGACAACATTTATGAGTAGTCTGAAAATTAAGTAATATTTGTCTAAACAAATTTAGAAACAAAATACTCCATTCATCTACCTTTAGTTGTTGTAATCATTTTTTGAAAATCAATTTGACTAACTTAAAGTTAAATTTTTTATAATAATGAAAACCACAATATTGAAATAAAGTGAGTATAAGTTTTTTTTAAAATAGTGTTGAGAATATCCTTAAATTTTAATACAAATTATTAATTTTGAGCCTGCTTGGGCTCAGCTTAAAAGCTGGTCAAACTGACTTAAAAGCTGGTTTTTGACTTATTTAACTGTTTGGCAATACTCAAAATAGCTTATTTTAAGTTAAAAAAAACTTATTTTAAGCCAAAAGTTAAAAACTGGGATAGGGGTGCTTTTTTTTTTAGCTTATAAGCTGTTTTAAGTTGACCACATTTTTATGTTTTTTCCCTTAATATTTTTATACAATCTTCAAATTACTCATATAACCCTAACATCTCTTTCTTCTATTTTTCCCTTTTCACGTTTGGCATAACAACTTCAGCACTTTTATCCAAACGCATAACTGCTTATTTTAAAAATAAGTTTCAGCACTTTGAAAAGTACTTTTTAAAGCTGCTTTTATTAAGCCCATCCAAACGGGCCCAAATTATCTCGATATTAATAACCTTAAGAATATATGTCTATTTGACTAACTAAATTTAAATTTACTCCGACGTACAACATGATATAGTAAGTGATGTCAAATTTGTGTAAGAATATGTTGCTCTTAAAAGAAAAGTCGAGAAATTTGATTTTAAAAAAATCCCTTAATGAGAATTTGAATAGTATTTTACTCAAGTAAAGAGATATTTACAGAACTGTTGATAATATAACCCTCGAGTTTAGACGATGGTCCAAATTAAAATTTTAAAAGTCAGTTACCCATTTTATAGTGTTTCACCTACCGAAGCCCAACCAACAAAAAGAAAAGACAAATAAGTACAGCTCAAATGCTTAGAGACAAAATCTATTGATCCCAAATCAAAATCAAAAATGGCGAATCATAGATTTCAATTCCTAAAATGGTGGCGAAAATTGACAAGAAGAGAGTGGACTATTGCAGCAGCTTCATTGGCTATTCTAGTTTTTACACTTTCCTTCATCTCTCACTCCAATAATTCAGCGATTCCTGCTAACGATTTGATGATACCCTTTACCCCTTTAAGCAATGCCCAACAAAAATCTGCCTGTAAATTTCTCTTCCACATTTTGTTTTGTGGACTTCAATTTGTTATTTTTAATTTATTTTTTTTAGTGTAATTGGGTATGTGAGCAGTTCAAATTGGATGGTGAAGGTGCAGATTATATGTTTTGTGAATTTATTTGCAGTTTGTTTAGATGGAAGCTTACCTGGGTATCATTTACAGAAGGGTTTTGGATCTGGGTCTGACAAATGGGTTCTTCACATTGAGGTTAGCTTCTATCTCTTATTAACTGAGTTGATCAATTGTTAAAATGTGTTTTCTTGCTTCAAAAACTTTTCTTTAGATCCGAGGTCTATCGGAAATTGTTGCTCTACTTTGTAATGAGTTAACAAAGTCATTTTCTTTTTTGGTAAAGCAAAAAGTGATTAACTATTGGAAATGATGTGCAAAGTTTTTTTTTTGTTAACAGAAATGTCACTTTACTATTGCTATATCAGACCAAATATTCTCTTAGCAGTAAAATGTATTTCCAGTAACAATTTAATGATGTGACACAATGTTTGAAGCCAAAAGATTAAAAAACGTAAAACCCATCATTTCAACCGATATAGGACTATTCAACTCATGAATTCGACCCGTCTTACTTGGAAAAAGTTATAGAGTGTTTGAAAAAAGATGGTGTGTGCTCTAAAGACTGTTCATGTTTATGAAAAATTGGTCATAATGTTGCTAACAGTCATATAGATCTGGTGATACAAAGTGGTCTATTGTTGATGACTTTTCCTTATCTTAAAATGATGTTATTCTCAAAGATGGGAACTTTTATGCTGTTGATAATACTGGGAGGGGGTGCATGTTAAATTGGGTGATTTGTCATTGCCTGAGTTAATAGTTGTTGCTCATTTTGTGTTTGTAAGAGCTAAAATGTTTCTTGTGAAGTCTTGTGAGAACTTGTTGATGGTTGACAAGTATCTGAGTATTGGTTTTGAACATGATCTTGGATACAATGATGATGTTGAATTTCATGAGGAATTTGAGCTTGATTGTTGGGATAAAGGGAACCGTATACTCTTCAGAAAACAGTGTTTTTGTGGTTTTTGTACAGATAAAAGAAGGTTAAGGCAGTCGGTTCATGGTTTAGTAGTCCTATGGAGTATGGACCTATATTGGTTAAAATGGTTGGATTTATGTTCTATTTTTGCTTCTAATATTGTGTGGCACATAACTTCATCATGTTGGTCGCTAAAATAGAACATATGTCTTGTAATTCTTAAATTCCTTAATAGAGTGGTAATACACTTCAACATAGCACCTGAATAGGTAGAGGTATTGGGTTCGAGTCATATCATTCCCACAAACAAAAAACATTCTCATGAAAAAAGAAAAATCCAGTCATAAGTTAAGGGACATGTTCTCTATCTTTTGTTCTGTTGACATTAGTTAAGGCCAAAGTAGTAGCCATGCACACAACATTAGCCTGCAGATGTGATACGTCAATATTCTAGTTTGCTCTTTCCCTTTTCTTGTTGACTATGTTTTTGTGTTAATCTTGCATTGCAGGGTGGAGGCTGGTGTAACTCAGTAGAAACATGTTCT